TCTCAAAAAAAAAAAAAAAAAATTATTTCCTTAAAACAAAAGAAAGAGGCAGAGAGAGAGAAGGATCTGGGGCAAAAATGCTTAAATCCAGGATGTGAGTATGCTAGTTTCTAAGTTATTTTCTGTATATTTGAAGTCTTTAGCAATTAAAAATAAAAATATTATTCCATCTGTAATTCCATCTGTAACAGTATGTCTTGGAACCCAGGCTAGCTTGGAGGCACAGCTTCTCACTATGGAGGGAGGTCCAGCAGGGAGTGGGTCAGGGGCCCACTGAGGGGCTCCGCCACAGAAGGACAACAGCACCTGGGAGTCACTGAGCTCCACCTGCCTCCAGCAATGCCTTGGCAGCCTTGGCTTCACTCCTCACCAGCTCTCAGTTCTGCCTCAGTTTCTCACCCACCTCTGCCGGGCCAGGGGTCTCCTGAGGCTGACCCTGGCCAGCGTTTGCTAGTGCCAGCTCTCTTTGCACTCCAGAGACTGGGGCTGAGTGACTGTGCTCCCCTCCCAAAGGTCTTAGCCTGGCTTACCTTTCTGTAGCATTAACTCCTCAAAGGAATTTCTACTGATGCTGACATACAGTTCCCAGACTATTTCCAGGTACTTTTTTTTTTTTGAGATGGAGTCTCGCTCTATCACCCAGGTTAGAGCGCAGTGGCACAATTTCAGCTCACTGCAACCTTCGCCTCCTGGATTCAAGCAATTCTCCTGCCTCAGCCTCCCAAGTAGCTGGGATTACAGGCATGTACCACCATGCCCGCCTACTTTTTGTACTTTTAGTAGAGACAGGGTTTCACCATGTTGGCCAGGCTGGTCTTGAACTCCTGACCACAGGTGATCCACCCACTTCGGTCTCCCAAAGTGCCAGGATTACAAGCATGAGCCACCACGCCCGGCCCAGATACCACTAAAGAATTTAACAGCTAAGACCCCCGAATGCTGCCAGGTCCTCAAACGTGGGCTCTGAAGGCACACATTGCTACCTCCTCAGACGCATCAGTTTTACCTACTTTGCACTTGGCTCTAATTTAAAACCACTCCAGATTCTCCCACCAAACTTGAAATAATCACTACGCTATCTCTGAAAGGGAGACAAAGCTGCTCATCCCCTGAGGACTTGGGGTGGATGATGTCCGCACCCTCCCCAGCAGGGTGAGGAAGGCAGGGGTGGCCTGAGAGGCCACGGGGCACTTACCGCTGGCACTCGCCGGCGTGCAGGATGAGCACCTCGCTGCTCCTGGTGCTGACGGTCAGCTCATGCTCCGTGGAGTTGAAGACATCCAGGAGCAGGTGGCACTGCCGGGTGCTGCGTTAAAGACAAAAGAAAGTTCACAATCCTGTGACAGCCAAAGACAAGTGACTTTTCCTTTTTCTACTCTCCAAAGATTTCCCGCCACTTAAGAGCAAAGTATATCGGAAGCCAAATGCTTCCAGGCTCAGAGGATTACGGAGACTGCTTCTGAACACAAGTGTGAACTCTAAAGAGTGGGTTTAGGCTTCAGGTCCTCCTTGGTCCCGGGGTCCTGGGGACATGTGCTCACAGCTGAGCCACACCTTTTACCAACCAAGTGACCTTGGGAAGGTAACCTGAGTTCTCCAAACCTCGATACACTGAGGACTAGAACACCTGCCTCTCATCTGTGGAGAAACACAGGCGTGCAGTACCATCCAATGAGGCTATGCCCAAGCCAGCATCCTCAGCTACCAGATTCCAAGCTGGGCACTGAGGCGTGAGGACAAGTGTCCTGCTTGCGTGTGTGCACACCCATTGCACGCTTCTCCCACACAGGCACCTCTAGAACTGGCGCAGATACTGGACGTCTCCTCACCGCCCTTTGAAGCCTGTTCTCCTTTGGTTACTCTCCTACAGAGGTGAGAAGTAAAATGCTCAAGTTCCCACTGTTCCTTGCAAGGGCCAGTCCATGTGGGGAGGTTCTAGCCAACAAGGCACAGACCTCTGGAGGCTTTCCTTCCCAAATACAAACACGTTCTTGGGAGGAGAGGGCTTTTGCCCTTCAGCCTTCCTCGTTCCCCTTCCTTCCTCCCTAGAAGCAAGGAGGATGCCTAGAAGCTCAGTAAGCCTCAGGGACACTGAGGACAAAACCCACCGGCTGTGGATGGCAGAGCAGGGGTCGGAGGTACTTGGGAGCATTCACATCCTTGAGCGGCTGGCACTGCACTGCCGGCCTCCCTCTAGACGCATTAGCTCCATGTGCAAAGTGGAAAAATTCAGCCCCACACGTGCCATTTGTGTCAGTCATCATCTGTTAGGTTAACATGACAGCTGAATGCCTGCCAAAAACTCATACAGTATCTTGGACACCAAGTATCACAGTCAGCACATTACCAGGTCATCGATAAATGTCTGCTGATCTCAATGGACAGCTGCACCCAAGGCAGGACAGACAGAGATGACAGCAACTGAGCAGAGGCCATTCTTCTTGGAAGATCAGGATAAATAGTTTTCATTGGGGGAGAAAACTTGGAGAAAAAGATCTGTGCCCTGGTCATTATGGTTAGTGTAGTGTGACTTCAAAGCATGGCCTTCCAAAGGGCATTTGATTTCTCAAATGTATTTCTCCAAGTGGGAGGCAAGGCTTTGCTGGTTGTTAAAGAAAGTCCGGTCAAAGGAAAGGGACAATCACCTGTGACTTCATCACAACAGCCTCAGGAGCAGTCCTCAGACCCCCACCGGCACTGGAGAGGGAGGCTCAGGAGAGGACAGGAGTGCTACCGCGATGTCTAAGACCCTGGATGGAGCACTCAAAACCCCGGGCTTCTCCCAGTAGACGTGGACCTCTATTCATTCCAAAGCCACACATGACCTCCCTCTTTCCAGAGAGGGGAACTGAGACGCCGGGGGTGCAGCGGCAGGCCCAGAAGTTCACGCACACACACATGCACACACACAAGTACGACTTTGTCAAAAGGCCACAGGGCATCTGTGAAAGATCAGTTTTTCAGAACATGGGCATGTGACCTGCTCTCAAGGGAAGGTGGGAGCATGTCACCATTTCCCTTTTTTTTTTTTTTTTATTTTTTATTTTTGAGACAGCATTTCACTTTTGTCACCCAGGCTGGAGTGCAGTGATGTGGTCTTGGCTCACTGCAACCTCCATCTCCAGGGTTCAAGTGATTCTCCTGCTTCAGCCTCCTGAGTAACTAGGATTACAGGTGCCTGTCATCATGCCCAGCTAATTTTTGTATTTTTACTAGAGGCAGGGTTTCACCATGATGGCCAGGCTGGTCTCGAACTTCTGGCCTCAGGTGATCTGCTGCCTCGGCCTCCCAAAGTATTGGGATTACAGGTGTAAGCCATGGCGCCATTTCTATCAGGTAGCACAGCGTCAATGGGGTGCCGCACACCGAGAGTTGACAGCTGCCATCAGTTGAGTCTGGGTTTTGTGGGTGGGGCTTCCTTCCCCAGAGGTTCAGCACTTGGAAAACATTCATTAGCTCTGACAGCTGCCTGCAAGAGGCCTCTCTGCTCAGCTCACAGAAAAATGAGCTTCCGAGAATGAAGATCTATTCCTCTGTTGTCATAACTTCATGAAATCTTTAATCACAGCAAAATCTTTCATCAGAAAAGGGAACTCGTTAAACATTTATCAGAGGAGGAAAATTGAAGTGATTTTTTAAAAGTCTGGAAGAAAAGGTTCAAATGTATTTTGTTTACAGTCACAGAACGGAGCGCTTAGGAGACGGCGCAGGAATGAGCATCGTCGGTACACAATGCGCTCCTGTCCTCTTCCTCTGCTTTTTTCTGACTCACTGTCTGAGTGTGGGGGCGTCTGGACCGAGTGTTTCTATTCCTTCTAATTGTTGACATGATGATGTATTGGTGGAGCTTGGCTTCCTAGCTGTTATTCATAAGTAAGTTTCCTTTCCCAGGCTGCAGCAGCAGTGTGTGCCACCATAATGTCACTGACTCTGGGTACCTTTCCATATGGCTTTGGATGCTTGGTTTTGAGGCTAAGGCTCTGAGCATACGGTTTACCTTAATTCTTGTGTGCTTTTTGGGTTTGCTTTTTTTTCTAGACACATCTATCTGAAGTATGAGGAAATCCATGAAAGCTTCCTGGAAGAGCTGAGGCCAGGGCGCATCTCTGGAGGACAGGCACGTTTGCCTGGCTTAGAAAAGAGAAGAAAACAAAGTCCCACAGCATGGAGGAGTCTAGCTATTTTGGGAATATGGAGTCAGGTAGAGTGTGGTAGACCAGGCTGCCGGGTGAAAACAAGAAGCCCTTTTTCGGCAAAGAGGGCAGCAGTGTATGTTTTACTCAAACCACTCTGACACAATGAGTGGGGCACTATTTCCTCAGCCCTGAATTGGAGATTTTTATTAATTATTTCATCCAGCAAATACCTCCTGAGGAACTGAATAAGAAACACAAGCTCCCTCCATTCGTGGCTATTATACCCCTGTGAGGGAAAAGGGCAGGACTGATGGAGTTGTTTTAAAAAAATATAAAATTTGCTGTCATTTTTTGTAAAATTAGAAAAAAGCTGAAAATGATTGCTGAATAACGGACTAAGACACAAAATCAATACCAGTCCTACACATCAACGAAAAACAATTACAAGACAAACTTCTTGAGAAAGTACATTTATAATAGAAAGAAAGTCCACAACGCAGGTAGAAATAAATCTAACAAAATACATGCACGATATTTATGCAAAAAATGCAAAAGTTTTGTGGAACAGTATTAAAGAAGAAAAATAAGTTCAGAGATGTACAGGTTGAGTATCCTTGATCTGAAATGCTTGGACCAGATGTGTTTCAAATACAGGGTTTTTTAAGATTTTGGAATACTTGATTATGCTTGCCAAGTGAGTATCCAAAATCCAAAAATCTGAGATGTAAAACACTCCAAGGAGCATTTCCTTTGGGCATCGTGTCAGTGCTCAAAAAGTTTTGAATTTTGGAGCATTTCAAGTTTGGGGATGCTCAACCCACGTTATGTTCAAAGATGGAAAGACTTAATATTTTTAAAGAAGTTATCTCTTTCCAAATTTCTATAAACTCAATGTAACTCAATAAGAAAAATCACAACAGGGTTTTGTTAAAACAACAATGTGGGAGGTTTTGGGAAGGAATCTGGCCTAACAGACATCAGGAATTGTCATAAAGCTGTAATCATGAAGACAGTGGCACTGGGGCAGCGACAGAGAAATACATTACTGAAAGAAAAGACAGCTGCAAAGCAGACCCACGAATATAAGGAAACTGGAGAGATGACTGCAGTGGTGGTGTTGATTAATTGGCACAAGTTTCACTTAATAGTGCTGGAAAAAATGATTATGCACATATACAGAAAATTAGATCCCTACCTCACATCATAAATAAAAATAAATCCCAAATAGAATGAATAATAAAACAGTAAAACAATATTTTAAAATCTTTAGAAGAAAATATAGATGAACAGTTCATGATCTTGAAAAAAAGAAAGATTTCTCTAAAGAGTTACAATACATATAAAATATAAGGGAAAAGAATAAAACATTTGGCTGCATTAAAATTAACATAACCAAAGCAAAGACAAGCTTCATGTTTAATGTGTTACAAATAACTTTTCACAGACATCTGCAGCACATTAAATTGACTAAGGATTTGAATTCTGAACTTATAGAGAACTCCTATAAATCATTAAGAAAGAAATGACCCAACAGAAAATCAAGCAAAAGACAAGAATCAACAATTTAAAGTATGGGAAACCCAATAACCAATAAACAGGAACAGAAGCTCAATCCAACTAGTAGTCAGAGAAATGGAAATAAACCCCAAAAGCATTCTTTCTTACATAACCTATTGGAAATATTTTTAAAGTGTCCCAGTACCAAGTATTGGCCAAGCTATAGATTGAGTGAAAATATGGAAACTCTTTTCCCTGCTGGTAGGGATACAAATTGGTATGACTCCTTAAGAGAGAAAAGCATTTGACCTAACAATTCTATTTGTAGCTGCCTATCTTAAATCAACTCAGAATTTAGTAAAAGAACACATTCAAAGTATTCAATGCAACATTGATTAGAAAAGTAAAAAACTGCTTTTAACTAAGTGCACATCAACTAGAGAGTAGACACAGGTGTACAATGATAGAGTTACATGGTGGAAACCTATGCAGAGGTGAAAATGAATTTAAAAGAACTATATGCCCCACCACAGACAAATCTCATGTTAAAACTGCTGGGTAAGTAAGTCCCAGAAGATACCATATAATGTGTATATATATATATATATATATATATGCATCAAATTTTAAAATATGTTTTAAAATACTCAATATTGTCTATAAACATCAAATT